ACGCCCCAGCTGCCCACCCAGCCACGATGGATGACGCTCGGATGGCGCCGGCACGTCTCACTCGGCGCTCTCACCTCTCACCTCTCGGCAGAGATTCGCTCACCGGAGATACACGGACGCCGCCGGCTCACGGAGGCGCTCACCAGCTTCAGCATCGCACAGGGGTGACTTCGACTCATCGCCCGGGACTGGCAAAGCGGCGAACGTAGAGGGCCCTGCATGACTTACTTTTTATGCAGTTTTATGCAGCTTCTATGTAGCTTGATGGGCCAGCATATAGGACGACATTTTTCACTTACTATAACAGTTCGCGCTGCGCCATGCTGCCAATTTTTGCATATAGGAACGCGTTATCTGCACAATAAATGATGTACATAACTAGATACCTACCCAATAAAAGGCTGACGCATTTTGGCACTGCGCTCCCTACAGCTAGCACATCCTCACTTTATGCACGTACAGCATTCATCCAGGCTCTCTGAGAGACACTTAGCCATTCGTTTCTCCTCTGCGAATGAGCGGGGGGGGAGGCGCTGATGGGGCAGGTCAGGGAGGGAAGAGGGGCGGCGAGGGAAGCTGATGACGCTAAATGACCGGAGCGTTTTGGCCGGTCATTTGCTCGCACACCAACAGTCATCCATCGCGGGAAGTGGGTGAGACGAGACGCGAGACACGCCCGCTGCCGAGACGGACGTTGAGACGGAAACAGAGACGGCAGGGAGACGGAGAGTGATAGAGACGGAAACAGAGACGGACAGAGAGACGACAGGAGACGGAAACAGAGACGGCAGGGAGACGGAAACAGAGACGGCGGGGAGACGGAGAGTGATAGAGACGGAAACAGAGACGGACAGAGAGACGACAGGAGAAGGAAACAGAGACGGCGGGGAGACGGCAGGAGACGGAAACAGAGACGGACATTGAGACGGAAACAGAGACGGGATAGAGACGGACATAGGGATAGAAACAGATAAGGCAGGGAGACAGACGGTGGGGAAAGGCGGGGGGGGGGAGACGGAAACAGAGACGGCGGGGAGATGAGATGGGAAGAGAGGGAGAAAGAGGGAAAGAGAGATAGAGAGTAAGAGAGAGTGAGAGAGAGAGAAAGGGAGAGAGAGAGAAGAGAGAAAGAGAGAGAGAGAGAGAGAGAGAGAGAGAGAGAGAGAGAGAGAGAGAGAGAGAGAGAGAGAGAGAGAGAGAGAGAGAGAGAGAGAGAGAGAGAGAGAGAGAGAGAGAGAGAGAGAGAGAGAGAGAGAATCTAAGAGACGAACAGAGAAATATGGATATAGCGTCCGACAGAGAAATGGTTACCGAGTCGGGAGGCAAAGTCGACTTTTTTACGAAACGCCCGAATTTCCTCGCCTCAAGCACTGCGCCTTTCTGACACGATTTTCAGAAAACATCAGACAACTTTTCTGGAAGGTACAGCACACCAGCAGCGCTGTTCAAACAGATGGATGTCTCTGCATAATGCACCGCTAGTCTTCGAAGCAAAGCCTCTCTGCAATGTCTCCTAACTATTAACAATGCCACGAACTGCTATTTTACCAGATATAATTTTGGTAATCAATGGATTCTACGGCTCTTTTTTAAGAAAACGTGCCGACAACTAGTGAGACACGTGGGGGGGGGGGACAACGTGCCTCACTAGGTTGAAATGTAATTATTGCTTATTCATGGCCGCATGTATTAAGAATAGCCGCATGTAAAAAAGATAGAGGTAGTCGGATCGCTATTTTTCTTCTGCTGTGATTTTTAATTCCTCTATCCGATCTGTTTTCACGGTAGGGTGCAAAACTATCTAAACCTGCACCTTAGTGACGCTTTCAAGTGGCGAACTGAATGCTTGCACCAACGCTTATTCTACTCTCGCTGTCATCCAAAGTGTCCCCCGTCTAGACTGTGTCCCAATTTCACTGTTACATACCCCGCTCTCCGCCGTTTACCCGATGCTCCAGCGGCCGCCCGACATCCCGCCGTGTTATTCTATGGGCCACTTACGCGTCGTCGGCCGTCGAGAGGACGACCTCCTCGTGCCAAACGGCGCCGGTCCATCTGGCCGATCGGCCCGGCCGGCCCGAGGCGGCCCGATCTATCAGCGTCGCCGACTCGGAGCGTCGATAGAGAGCCCAGCGTCCGAGCGAGACACATGGGTGGCCGTCTGTGTAACGAAATTCGTTCCTACCCCGTCCTCCACCTCCCTCTGTACCTACTTACTGCCCAGCCCCCTCGCCCACTTACAATATCCTTATATGGTCCTCACTCCTCACCTGCGACGCCTGTCCTAGCCCGCTTCTGATTGGTGCTATGATATGACGTACATCTATATGTATGACGTGTGTGTATGACGTTTCAATATAGCGGCCGACGCCGAACGCCGAGCAGGAGCTGTGAAAGATTCATTCGAAAGCCAACCGCCGTAGCGGCCTGACGTATCGTTATTCAAAGTCTCGGCCGACTGTTTATTACTTTTGGATTCTGTCGTCAAATTTGCAATACATACTTCAAGAAAAGAAAAACCGTGTTGGTTATACGGCTCGAACAAGAGGTCCCCAAACAGACTATCACAGAAGAAGAAATTGTTTATTTACTTATTACATTTGTTACAGTCTGGTCCGACGGAGGCGATAGCCGGACCCGACGGCGGGGCTTCTCGGCAGAGGTCGGTTTGTTTGGCCGGTGAGTGGCGGTTTGTATGGCTGGTGAGTGGCGTCGATGACGGTGATTTGAGGAGGGCACCGGTTAGAAAAGAGACGTCATCGGTAGTCTCCTCTCCACTCTGTTCGATCGAGACCAACGGAGACCACATGGACCGTTTCGGTCCAGGTTATGGTCCAGTGGGAGCACAGTCTGGCAAGAACCATGGTCTTACGGTTACCGGTTACCACGGCTACCGCAGCTACTACGGCTACGGGTACTTATACGGCTTTACAGTCTACAGGGACCATGGCGAGGACCATGGTCTATCGGGGATCATGTTCCGTGACTGCACGAACCGCGTCTCAACAGGAACCACGGTCCACCGCAGACCACAACTCCGTTCCGTGACCTGCTCTCGTTCCGACCACTCCGTAATCGCATCACGTTCGATTAATTGGCCGCCGAACGGCCGGAATCACCGGAGATGGCACCGGAAATCTCGCCGAAAACACGGCCTTCGTCGGCGCCGACCAGAGCCCAATTCGGCCACAGCGGGCGACCCACTGACCGCCTTCCAAGGCCGCCGCTGAGAGGCCATTTGGCCGGTACCGAGTCCCCGAGAGGACATGATTCCGGCTTATATGTCGGTCGGCCGACATTACGGCTCTAAGCAGCTCTTCAACATGTCCGTTTGATGTTCATTATGCTACAATGAAACTCGGCTTTATGCGCGCCCGTCGGCCATGATAGATGCTGATTCTCCGGCGGCGGATTTAGCGGGTCATTGACCTGTCGCTCGGCGATTATTTGGTTTATAGCGAGGACTGTGTCAATTCGGACGGTTTAGTGTCGGAGATGTTGGACTGTTTCTCCGGGAACGGTTCGAGTCTGTGTTCATATTAGTGGCGCCGGTTGTTGTAAATGTTGTCCAACGTTCCTTCGATGTCCGGAGTTGTTAATATTTGTCCGCCCGAAATTTACCCGGACCAACTATGTATATTGTCCCAAGCACCCGGCAGCCATCGATTGTTGTGCGAGTGGGTTATGTTGGTGCCCCTTATGGAATAAGGAGCCGGAACGGTATCCCTCCCACATCATTCCTTCACCAAATACTACGCCGGGGAGCGGCCTCTCAGTGGAGACACTGGATGGAGATAAAAACCCAGCTGAGGTCTTCGGCAAAGGCCAACATATGCACGAAAATGCAACAGCCACACATTAGTTCCATAACTGGCGGTATGGCACCTCTGACTGAAATAACACACTGCTGAGGCATACATATATTCGTTTTCTTTTTTTTTCAATATTAGCCCAAAGCAGGCACTTGGTCATCATATGACGACTCTCACGTGAACTCAGTTCTGGGTAGCACAGTAATGCATTTCTATTTTTGGCGACAAGTTATTAGAAGTGGGAGGGTCGGTAAGAGTCTTAGAGCCAGCCGGTGCCGCCCTTACCCGCCGACATTCACCGAGACCCCGAGGCAGCCAGAACCGAGAGGCAATAACCTCCACAATAGCTCCGTAAACGATATCGTAACGATACAAAACAGCGGGAGAATCACCCCGACCAGAAGCGCCGCCGTCAGAGCAGCACGGACCGACGACTCCGCAGCATTTTATCGAGCGCTGATGACGTTCTCAGTCGCTGGCCGACTCGCGAATAGTCACAAAGACTCCCAAAGAGGCGGCGACGACCGGACGGCAACTTTTGTGGCAGATTGACGCCGCCCAAACTCGGCCGGCGGCGCAATCTGAATTCGCCGCGCGGCCGGCGTGCCCCCGCCGTGGACCGGGCCGCCAGCCGAGCGGGCCCGCAGAGTTGGGTACGGCCGGGTAAGTTCGACAGTCGTTCGGGGCTGACAAAACGCCCATGGAACAGGGAGTGATCGGAGAGCCAAGTTGGCCGCCGCTGCTGTCACTCCGGCTGGCGTAGGTAGGAAAGAGGGACAGGATCAAGAAAGAGAAAGGAGACCATTCACTGGCTGTTTCGCTTTTAATGGTTGCTTTTAATTTCACTGCAACCTGAACCTTATGTCAATCCTTTTATCATCCCAGCAGCCTCCGTCCTCCAGCGCTGAATAACCGACACCGCGACCCACCCCGCCTGTTTCCTGCCATCCCTCCCTCTTTCTCCCAATCCGGATGAACCTTTAATAACGCGTCTCCGCCCGTCAGCCACGGCCGGCCGCCCGTGGGGACGCCGGAGCTGCTGAGACGGCCCGACGTCAATTAAACCCATCTGCCTAACTAATCCCACCGCCCTAAGACGCTCTCAGACGCAGCCGAGCCGCCACAAAACACGGCTACCTATACAGAACGGGCGGTCTGCGTGCGACATCCCCCACGAAAGACACAGTGTGTAGAAAGAGCTATTTATTGACTCTTGCCACCGACATGTACCGTCAACATCGCTGTATGAAATCTCGCACATGAGTATGGATCTAGTGTACAAATTCATATAAACAGGCAGTTCAGAAGGCACTCACAATGAAGAACTCTCACTCATTCTCACACATCCGCCCATACACGGGCGTGGGGCACACACACACCACACACCGCGCGACTCTATGTCAATAAATATCACGTTGTACTACTTGGGTCCAGGGCCTCGTTTCATAAAAGGAATTACTTACGGCGTTCCGTCAATTATGCCAGATTTGGCGTATTTGATGCCAATTCGGTTTCATAAAGCCGGAGACCGGAGTAATTCACGCCATCGAAAGTACGGAGCTTCATTTACGGCAAATGCTCGATTCCGGACCAATTGATGCCATTTGGGTTTCATAAAACGACGTAATTAACGCCAAATATTTTATCAAGCTCTTGATATCAGTGGTGTAAACTACGCACGAAAATGTTGCGTGATTTTGAATTAATGTGAAGATTCGAAGCTAGTTTTTAATATATTTTATAATGTTGAGCCCGGTGAGGAAGAAAGAACAGCCAAAATGAGAAAAAGAAGCTGCAAATCTTCTGTACCAGTCGCTTTTTGTGGCCACTATCGGAATTTTGTTTATTCGCCGCGCCGCGCCACTTTCGTAGTTACGCACTTCTGCTTAGCTGGCTTTCTGCTGTTTTTAATATATTGTTTTAATAAAGGATGGTCATCAATATCAATTTTGTTTTTTCATAAATAATTTTTAAGATTTAAATTCAACATAATTGTTTTATAATTTCTCGTAAAAAATAAATGTTGACATGAAATTGTAATTTGTAGGACGCTTGATAAATTACGGTAACTACGCAAATGTGCTTAGTTACGGAGGTGTAAACAATTCCAGTTGACGCTTTGTGAAACGGCTTTATTTGCGCTCCGTAGTTTGAAAGGGTGTGAATTACGGAAAGGTGTAAGTTACGGCAGAGCTTTATGAAACGAGGCCCAGTTGTGGCACGGGATGGGTCACACACCAGGGCAGGGGCGGGGGGGGGGGGGGCTCTGAGAGGCGGCGCCCTGCCGGGGGAGGGGAGGGCGCCCTAGCTGCGGTCAGCAGGTCACAGGGGAGGTTCGGAGACCGGCCAGCTCACGGGAGAGGTCGCCGTGAGAACCGGTTGGTTCGGGAGCGGCTGAGAGATGTGACCCCAACAGGGAACAGGAACAGGCCCCGCCGGCCCGGCGGAGGGAGTCCTCACCCGACCACGGCGGCCGGCCGGGAGACCGGTCCATCAACACGACACTAATAAATACACAGCATCTCAACAACACTTTGAACTCGCAACGCACAGAGGCAAACACATTTCTGAACACGATATTAACATGTCAAACACTTCGATAAAACAACTTTTACAGTTGAAAAGTTCATTAAAAACTGCTTGAGCTAAAAGGCAACCAATTTTCACAAGTCACCTTAACGATAAGGCACCTGTCAAAAACTTGTCGAGTTCTAACCGCTGTGACGCGTAAAACCGGTCACAAGAAGGGGACGTCCGCTGTCACACAACTCGACAACCTCGGCTGGCGGCTCAGACCATAATCTCTGGAGATCCTCCACCAACAAATGCACGAGGTGGTGGACGGAGCGGATCACCGGCTCTGCTGACCTCGCCACCTTGATTTATCCTCACCGGACAAATCTAGCCACCACTGGGTGTCAGACAAAGCCGAACGCTGGGTGCCGGACCAAGCCCAACTCTGAGTCTCCGTGGAGCCACTGGCGTAGGGTCCACTCAGCAGAGAATCGCCCGCGCCCGCCGTCCGTCCGGTTGGCACACGGTCAGGCACTGTTTGAGCTGGGATCACAGCGAACGCCCTCACGGCAGTCCGTGCCGCTACCTGCCACTCAGCCGGTGGCGCTGCGCCTCGATACCTGTCGATAAACAACGACCCGTCAGCGCCGCGCGAGACACCCCGCCCGCCCGACCGCCCCGCGCGCCGGCCGTGTGTCGGGTCCAACTTGGACAATTCGAGTCAGCGAGAAAACTATTAAAGTGCAGTTGTAAAAACAGTCGCCGATGTTGTATTGTTCGAGTTTCTGAGGACCGCAGATTGGTAGAGCTTCCGCAAATACAACTGTCCGCAGAGCTTTGTTCAAAACATGAAATGGGAACTTGTGAAAGAACACATATTGCGCGTCCATAAACGAGCTGGTTATGGCTTAACTAGAGATAGATGTGGTAATGTGAACACTTTTTCTACTCTACTTACTGGCACAGAGTATTGGCTAGCGGTGGTAGCGTGAGCATCCCAGTCGGGGGAGAGAGTAAGGAAGGGGCAGCTGGAGGGTAGAGGGGACAGCACTGGCAGCGAGAGCAGGACAGAGGCCGGAGAGCGGCGCACGGCCACTGATGATCCGACTATCGGCACTGATGGTTCCGGGGAGGCCGTCCAAGGCTGGCCGACCGACCGACCGACGAGGGAAGCTCAGTTTCGCGGTATACTTAGGCGAATCCTTCTGTTTATAAGCTGCTCGATTATCATACGCATAATTTTACTCTCCACTTATTACTCTTTATTCGGAGGCAACAAAAAATAAAGGAACTTTTTGAAGCGTGAGTCTCTTGCTGTCTCGGGAAAGTGCGTTAAAAGTAGTCCCAAGAAAACGCCTCGGAAAGTGGACGGGACTGACAGAGTTACTCAACATCGTTACTTCATTTAAACTCTACCCACCAGTGTTGGCTGCTCTGTTCTCCCCACCCCAAACCAAACCCCAAACCTTCCTCACAATCCCCCACCCCACCCAAACTCACTGTCTTTCCGGCGGAGGATGCGCCGTCTCCTCTCGACCGTGTCGCCTCCTCCGGTATATTTGTTATTGTTGAGCACGGCTCCGCTGGCGGCTCCGGCGGGGGACGGGTCGCTCGGGCCGCCGCCCGAGGCTGACCCCTCGGCGCCCACCGGCTCACAGCACGGCGGCACCGGGATGGCCACCGGCACCGCTCCGAACGAGGTCTCCGAGATGGCCGACGACTGTGGGGAGAGGGGAGGGGAGGGGGTGTCAGTGGGTGGTCTGGGGGAGTTGTGGATGGTAAAGTGGGGTCATGAAGGAAGAAAACAGAGGGAGGAGGTCAACATGTACTCAGAAACTTGAAGATGGTGGTCTGTGTTAGAAAATACACGTTATACCAGTGAGATTATAAAGACGGGACAAGCGAAATCAGTTTAAACGTCTCAGGTTATAAAGAAATACCCTAAAATATAAAAATATTTACAGTTCATTATTTCTGCCACACACTCAAAACAACTGAGTCAAAACTTGTCACGAGTGCTGGTAAGCAAATACAAACAAGTGCCAAAACCAGCCAGCAAACAACCTCCCGTCTGTCTCTCCGGTAACTGAATAGCACGTCGGGTCCGATCCACCCCCATTCAGGTGCCGTCGGCGGCGCTACCGACCGACAACTAACGAGCCATACCATCCGAGCCCACCCCTCCATCCGTCCGGCCCGGCGGCTCGACAGGGGTACCGCCGTCACATCCGAACACCGCCGGGGGCAACTGGGTCAGAGCTGACCGGCGGGGGCGTGGGCGGAGAGTGACCTCGAACCATCACAGCCGCCCGGTCAGCAGACAGTCCAGCACTCTGACTCTACCCTTTCCTCCCACGAAAGGGTAGAGGAACGAGAGGAGCATGGAACTCGCCTGTCGCCAGTCATCCCCCACTAATCAGCAAGCCCCTCCTGACCGCCCAAGCCGCCCCAGTAGCTAACCCTCAGAGACACCAGGCAGATCATATTCACCGCACCCAGCGATAATCAGCCCCGACCGCAGCCAGCGGCGTCTGATGCGGCTATATCTGGGACACAGCTCCGCCACGGGCCGGAGCCACCGGAAGGATCACAGCACGACATACAGACTTCCGACCGACGCGGCGGCTATATCGAGTCGTAATGCGATGACGATAATGATGATGGCTGGGATTTAGAGCGTCCGACCGCTGAGGCTATTGAAGCCGATGAATTGATGTGTAGTTTGTTCAACCCACACACCAGTTCGCCACCCGTCTGGTCGACTGCCGTGGGCCCTGCTGTAGATTATGACGAATTGCTCCGCCGACCACCGGTGGTAGTTTGGTGGATTATGACTGATTGCTCCACTGGTCACTGGTACTCGGCCGGTGGGAGGTGTTATACGACTCCCGACCAATATCGGCCGCGCCAGCCGCCGCTCACTCCGGATATTGTAAGCCGCCAATAACTCTCCCAGAGAGGATATGTTGATGTCACTGACCGGTGGAGAGGGGAGGGGGCGGTGGACGGAGGAGGGGAGATCGTGGAGGGAAGAGCAATCAGACAGGAGCGGTGTTGGAGTCAGCTGACGACCAGACCAGTGAAGATTCGTCACCGTCCACCGATTCGACCAGACGCCTCCACGAATGCTACAGAATGCAGACAAACCGGAGCGCCGCAGAATGTTAGCGCTGCTCAGTCCCGAACGATAGGCAGATAAACCTTCGTGCTAATAGCGTAACAAACATGTGCAAAAACTCGTGATAAAACACAGTAAGACCTAGCCCTAATAGCAAAACAGCCATGCACAAAAACTGCTAATAAAACATCCGCGCATTGGCGAGGCATCATAGGGCTTTGCCCAGAGAAGCCCCAGTGTCACGGGGTATTTGTATGGGCCAGGCGGGATGTGACTGCTAATAGAAGGCACAAAAAAAAAGACGAAAAAAGTGATACATTCCTGGGAACCAACGGCTAAAACAACACTTCTTTTCTACGGGAAGAACAGAGTTTTGGCGCTTGCAGATAATTCTAAGCTTCTCTTAAGTACCTATATAACGATACTTTGCTACGACTTTTGGGAAAGCCAATAATATAATACGCCAATAATATAATAATATAAGTTACAATACAGGCTATGTAACGTCCCGCTATGTAAATCCGAAATATAGAAACCAATCATATTTATACCTGGACATAAAACGCCACCGAGACGCAGCAGTCCATAAATTGTCGACGATCGCCGCAGTCTGGGCGGTGCGATGACGTAAAAGTGCACTGCCGCTCCAAAATAGACTTCCACTGTGAACAATACTCGCGACCATTACCTTTCCGGTCACGTGCTGTGACGTCACGCCGTCCCAAAAATACGGCCGGCGGCGACGGGCGCAGCTCAGTTCCCGGGTCATGCATGCCTAAGTATTTCGGCGCCACGCGCGGTGTCGTATCTGTCACCGGAGGGGCAAAACGGGCCCTGGCGGCGACAGAGTGGCCCCCGCTGGACCGGTTACGAGACAAGCGTGCTGCAACACCCGAACTGGACACTTTGGTTCGCCACCCGGCCCCGCGTAGAGTAGCCCTCTGCCCAGAGTAACCGTTTCGATGACATTTTATGTAAAGATTTTCATCTTTCTGGCGGGACAGTGGGACAGTCGGAGAAAGCGGGATAGTGGGAGCAATGGGACTAACGAGGAGCCGTGGCTCGACCCATCGACACACCAGCGACATAGAGCCATCGCTCAGCGCAGCGAGGGAGGCTGCCGAGATATCTCACACCTCCGCTCCACCGACCGCGCAAAGGAGCTGTATTTATACAGCGGGAAACTCCCCGACCGATATAGAGCCGAGACAAAGGCGTCAGGTTTATATCCCACACTTCATAAACACTGGAGCTATCAAACAGGCCATCAAACACTCAGTCGGTAACTACTCTGAGTTTCCGTCGCAGCCAACTGTAGCGAGCTAGCTCAATTGACGACGTCAATGAACTTCTCATTCAACATTATCTGTTCAAACTTAATGAGCCTAAGTTCCGTACGCCCGAAGTTGGCCGATTCTCCGATACAAATCGGTCTATTCTGTCGACTGCCGGGGACTAGTTCAGCCACCCACAGACGGACTCTGGGCAGTATTTCACACGATCCGCTCCATACTCCCCGGCTGGCTTCCACTGACCTCTCTGTGTGACATGGTCCGTTCCCCATTTTCTTGGCCCCCGGCTTTCTGTTTTAGGAAGAGAAGCAGAGCAGTGGACCTCGACCTACCCGCTGTTCGCACTAGAGTGACAGACTCCACTACCCTTCAGCCTGAAGAGTAGCAGTGAACCTCTATCTGCCTTCTCTTTGAAGAGCGGCAGCGGACCTCTACTCACCCTCTGTTTAAAAGGCAGCGGCGACGGACCCCCTAGGTACTCACCCTCTGCTTAAAAGGCAACGGCGGTACTTGCCCTTTGTTTAAAAGGCATATCGGATCCCTAATCAGACTCACCCTCTGTTTGAAGGGCAGCGGCGGCGGCGGCGGCGTGGCCGGCTGTTCGGGCTGCTGCAGCGGCGTCACGGCCAGCTCGGCGTCCGATCCTGTATAGGAGGCCTGTCTGCGCAGCGGCGCCACTGACAGCTCCCGGTCAGAGACAGTGAAGGGCTGCTGCTGCTGCAGGTGCATCGTCTGAGACGTGTCGCCGAACTTGGCCTCATCTGCGGGAGAGGAGAGAGAGAGGGAGAGAGTGTCAGCGTGTCATTCAGGTGTCAGCAGTGTCAGACACGTGTCAGAAGTGGCGGCGAGTTGTCAGTGTCAGTGCGCAATCCACGCGTCAATGTCAAAGTGTCATCAGTGTCAGTATCGGTGTCAAACGAGTGCCAGTGTCAATCGACTCCTAGATCAGAACCGCTCTCGATCACGACCCCACGTGCTAAAAGCTGGAAGTCAGGCGAGAAAGGCGTTAGATGGTAGAAAGACACGGGCGACAGGGCACGAACTCTGAGATGACACCAGCGATGGCGCCACTATGCCACAAACAGCACACCATTACGTAACCGCGACGCCGATTTTGAGCACGTTTTACATGCTTACAAGTACATTGAGTACATCAGTACAAGAGATGATGTTCGACAAGCGATCCTATCGGCTGAAGCCGCTGCTAACACTGTCAGTTCGTGATGTTGATGACTCATCCTCACAGCTTAGAACACGTCACCCAGGTTTCACAAATTCCAACCCAACCAGTCATGGTCTACCTGTTCCCTCCCTTATCCCCAAGTCTCTATCTTGATACACATTCTCCCTCCGTCTTACAGAATCCCCCCTCCCCCGCCCCAGAGACGGCGGAGGGTGGTCAGCGGCCCGGAAACGATCCTACCGCCGCAGCTCCCGGCTCGCACGCCACCCGGCCATCAGGGGTGTGCCGGGAGAGGCGACTGGACAGGTGATCATGTCTGGGAATGACCGGTGGACGAGCAAGAGACCTTGGGGCGCGTACGACGAGATGGCAGCTGGGCCGACGGTCTAGCTAGCAAGTTAGTGTGAAACGGAACACACACTGACGATTGTAAACCAACGCCGATAACAAAGAACAGGCGTTTCCGCTTGTTGGCGCCGCCCAGCAAGAGGGTTCGCCGCAGTGTGTATACGCGAGAAAATTGTCACGCGATTTTATAATTTCGAATTCAGTATTTTGTTTCCGTCTCAGCTGGAGTTTATTGCAAGTTTATTGCGCTAAATTGAATATGGAGTATAGTTAGGTGATATTTTGTGTTAAGTGTTAACATATTTTGAACCCCGCAGACTCATGTAAGTACGCATTTTGTTGTGGTAATAGACACGACTTTCGTTAGTAGTGAGAGTGACGATCTTGGTTATATCTGTAACGTTAGATCTTGTATGAGATGATTTAGGTAAATGCATAGTGTTGTTGTCCTTAAACCTATGTCTCCAAGTTGTATGACGTGATGTCATGTATTCCAGAAACGGCAACATGGAACTCAAGAGAGATATGTTTGTTTCTATTATTTGAGTAAGAAGATGCTCGAATAGTGCAATTAGACCGTATTGAGTGCGGTGGTAAAGGCCATAATTGATTTGCTGATTTAGCGTAATCAAAAGTTTATGAGTCTTCGATTAACTTTTATGAAAAGACATTTTAAACTGAGTTATTTTAAAACACGTTACCGTGAAGATTTATTCTGCGTTTTGAAGCCAGAATCTTCAGCCAGCCACTGTAAGTCTATCGCAGCTTTACTATTCTCAAACCTTAAGTATTGAATATGGACAAACTCACCGTGTATCAACTGAAATGTGAGCTAAAGGCCCGCGGGAGAGGGACCACAGGGAATAAGGCTGATCTGGTTGCTTCGCTGCGTGATGCATTAGACGAAGAAGGAATTGATTTTGAGAGTTGGGCTGAATTTGTCCCAAGTAAGGCCGCTGGGATATTTAACGCAAATGAAAACATGCCCCAAGCTAGTGCCGCCTTACCGAGTGGGCAACGAAGGAATACCGTCGAAATTACTGGAAGTGGCGAAGCTCCTCAAATAAGCGATACTATTTCTATCCAAACATCTGCATCGGCCGCTGAAATGACAAGGTTAAAATTGATAGAAGAAGACGCGCTTCGTGCGGGCTTAGAAGCACAGCTGAAAATTGTGCTAGAAAAACAGGAGTTAGATAGAAAGATGTCTGAATTGGCAAGACAGAAGGAAATTCTTGAATATACAGAGGCTATAGAAATTTCTAGAGCCAAGGTGAGGGCGCTAGGTAGACATGAAGACCATGAAATAGTTGAATCGAATCGCGACAAAGAGACCCCGAGATCGATATCGAATGCTACGAACGACACGAACACGACAAACCGAAGGAGCCACGACGGCCATCTAAATACTGAGAGCAGCAATATTGCAGGACTGTTGAGACGAGAAAGGGAAATAACTGCTGGGTTGATGCGCTTGCCGCCTGTTGAATTGCCCAAATTTGGAGGTGATGTTACTGAATTTCCTCATTTCATGAAGGCATTTAACCTAAAAATTGCCTCAAAGCTGTCCACCGACGAAGAAAGATTATTTTATTTAGAGCAGAATATGATTCCAGAAAGCAAGCCACATAGTATCGTTACAGCTTGCTTATACCTGGATAACGGCTACGAAGAAGCTAAGAACCTTCTCACACGACGGTACGGTTCAGAGAGCGTTTTGGCAGCGGCATTTGTTGATCAATTTGAAAATTTATTGCAGTTGAAACCAGACGATATTGAAGGGTTAGACCATTTTGCACTGGAGCTTATGAAGTGCAAGAATGCCTTTGGTGTAAATAGCGCAGCCATGAGTGACCCCAGAACCCTGAGGAGTATAAGCGCCAAGTTACCCGTTCACTCGCAACACAGATGGCGACATCGAGCCGACTCCATTAATGAAAATGAGGGTAGAGCAGTGGTGTTTGATGATCTAGTGAACTTCGTTGTACAGGAGGCAAGAGTTGCAACCAATCCTGTGTTTGGAAATCGTGGGTCAAATGCAACTGTAAGGCAAAATAACTCTGTCACTGTGGGCAGATTTCGTCCAAAACCGCTGGTGGCCGCGACACGGATGGTTAGTGCCGGAGCAAGCCCATGTATTCACTGTCAAGATAAGGGGCATGAACTCACCGATTGTAGTTGCTTTGCGAAGTTGCCACACCAGGACAAAATTGCCATTATTAGGGATTCAGCGCTGTGTTACGGCTGCTTGAAGCAAGGCCATCGCAGTACTGACTGTAGACGACGAGCTAGCTGTTCCATTTGTGCTTCCCGACATCCTACATCTCTCCATATCAATAGATCAGGAGGCAACAGTGAAAGATCAGAAAATGGTGTCCCAAATGTAACATCTTGCACCACGAAAGGTGGTGCATCCGTCTCATTTAGACCGGCTCTCCCGATCGTCCCTGTTGTCCTACATCACGGTCTTGAAAGGAAATGTACACTTGCTTTTCTGGACAGCGGATCAACTCATTCATTTATTTCAGAAGGATTGCTTAAAACTTTGAAACTACAGAGCCTGCCACAGACCAGACTATCGCTGACAACAGTTGACAGAGAAGTTAGCATCACGACACGAATAGTCAACGGAGCTTGGTTGTCGGACGAGAATGGTGGGAACATTTTAGAGCTGCCTCAGTTGTTTTCTCTCGAAAAAATTCCAGTGGACTTTGCTGATTTTCCTACTCAAACTGAAATAAGTAAATGGAAACATCTGGAAGGGGTCAAACTAGATCTGTGCCAAAATGAAGAAGTTGAACTTTTATTGGGCTCCAACGCCTTTTTAGCCATGGAACCATTAGAAGTGGTGACAAGCAACGGAGAGGGTGGTCCTTTTGCCGTGCGAACAAGATACGGATGGGTTGTGAGCGGTCTCCGTGGGGTATCATCACCATTTCCAGCGAAATGTTACAAAACACTGGTACATCCTGAGTTGCAACACCTTGAAGGGCTTGTACAACAGCTATACAATAAGGAACATGAAGAAAATCTACATTCAAATAAAATGGGACCATCTGTTGAGGACAAGAAATGGGAGAAATTCGTTCACGCGTCAACTAGACTGATTAAAGATCATTATGAGGTGGGACTACCGGTTGTAGATGAAGGGCTGATTCTGCCAAATAACAGGAATATGGCGGCAAGCAGGCTACTGAGCTTGAGAAATAAGCTTAGGCGGAGTGATAAATTGGCGTCCGATTACAAGCTATATATGAAAAACATGTTGCAAAATGGTTTCGCAGAGCCCGTACCAAATGCCGATTTATCCAGAAATGATGGTAAGGTATGGTATCTTCCACATCACGCCGTTCAGCATCCCCAAAAACCGGACAAGGTTCGCATTGTATTTGATGGCGCCGCAACCTTTAAAGGAATCTCTTTAAATGACAATCTTTTGCAGGGACCAGACCAAACGAATGCACTTTTAGACGTGTTGACCAGATTCCGTATGGAGAACATAGCTTTCACAGCCGATATTGAAAATATGTTCCATCAAGTTTATGTTCCAGAGTCTGACCGCGATTTATTCAGATTCCTGTGGTGGAAAGATGGCGATCCTCAAAATGATATATTGGAATACCGCATGAAAGTTCATGTTTTTGGAGCCACTTCTTCACCCAGTATAGCATGCTTTGCATTACGCAAGACAGCTTTAGACAACCGAGGGTGTTTCTCGAATGAAAGCTGTGCTACTATTGAGAAGAATTTTTACGTCGACGACTTGCTGAAGGCAATACCTGACGAAGGAAGCGCTGTACTGCTGCTTCGAGACCTGATGGTTTTGTGCAAACGAGGGGGATTTACTTTAAAGAAGATTTCGAGCAATAGTTCCGCTCTGATTGCATCCATTCCTAGCGAATCGCGGTCTAAGCAATTGGCGTACTGGACCAGCGATAGTAGTCACCTTCCCACTGAGCGAGTATTGGGTGTAATCTGGGACACTGAACAAGATGTGTTAAAGATGGCATTGGATCACGACAAGCTAGTTGCCCGGCCGATGACAAGACGAGGATTACTGTCAGCTGTAAGCTCCTTGTATGATCCAATTGGCATGTCATGCCCATCCATGCTGAAGGGACGCCTCATCTTGCAAGAATTGAGCAGGCTACATAATGGATGGGATGATAGTATTCCGCTTGTCAAGCAGCAAGAGTGGACGGCTTGGCTATCAGCTCTAAATGAAGTGAA